TAACACTTCCCAGTTCAGCAGGGCTGCCCTTATCCACCTCTCTCAACATGTGGACTGTATAAACCAAACATAAATGTACAGTCTGCAATTCATTTGTGTGGCTGTATGCCAAAGTATGAGTGCATGTCAAAGTGTGTGTCTGCCTCTCACCACTGCGTCCCGTTCCAGTCTTTTCCTGCCTGAGCAGGAAGCCGTACCCTTCTGGCCCCAGCACCAGATGCAGTCTGCGAGGCCGATATGGCATGTTCTCTGCATCAGCCATGGCTGGGAGAATAGGCATTTTCCTACGGGCATAACTCTTCTCACTGTCACTGTCAATCACCAGCATTGTCATGTGATTGTTGCACTTCTTCACCTGGAAATAGCATCACTTGAGATGAAAGTACACCATAACACCATAAAAGATCTAAATACTACTCATGATATGAGTTTGTGACGTGACATGTGGCCAAGTATGGTGACCCATACTCGGAATCAGTGCTCTGCATTTATCCCATCCAAAGTGCACACACACAGCAGTGAACACACACACACCGTGAACACACACCCGGAGCAGTGGGCAGCCATTTTTGCTGTGGCACCCGGGGAGCAGTTACTGTAAATGATTTAACATTGCATTATGTAATTTTACTGTAAAATAATGTAAAATGTAGTAAAAGGACACTCCCAGAGGTCACTGCATGACACAACACATGATGATTATTTAATTACGTTTTAATTTTGTTTCTTTTTGTAAACAGTAACATACATGATGGTATTTTTGTTACATTTTCTTTTATTTAGGTAATGTTTATTGTACATTTACATTACATTTACATTTAGTCATCTACTAAGCGAACACAAAATCAAGACAGGTGGATCTGGTGGTTTACTGTGTCAAAAGCAGCGGACAGATCCAGCAAGATAAGTATTGAAGATTTGGAATCCGCTCTTGAAAGTCTTAGGGCTTCAAAAACGGAGAGCAAGGCAGTCTCGGTTGAATGTCCACTTCTGAAACCAGACTAGTATTGTAGTATAGTATTGTAGTGCTGTCAAACGATTAATCATGATTAACTGCATCCAAAATAAAAGTTTTTGTTTACATGAGTGTGTACTGTGTTATTATGTATATATAAATACAAACACATACAGTATATATTTTGAAAATATTTACTTGTATTTATATATTCATATAAATTATATTATATATAAATATATTTAATATATAAACATAACATATTTTCTTAAATATATACATGCATGTGTGTATTTATATATACATAATAAATATACACAGTACACACATATATTATGTGAACAAAAATTTTTGGAATGTGATTAATCACGATTAATCATTTGACAGCACTAGTTTATTTCATTATTTTAGTTTTGTGTGTTATCCTGATGTTGTTTTGTCTTTGTGTGTGAGACCCTGGGTGAAATCTATACATGTTTTTATGAACAGGCTACTTGTGATAAATTCTGATTCATCATGTGGCTTTCTGTTTTATCTTTTGTATTATGGTGGTTATTAGTACATTTTAAGACAAAAAGTACATTTTGGTAGTTCAAATAGATTATACAATTGTATATTGACTTTATATCACTTGATGAAATATGTGGTTAAGCTGTACAACATACAGGTAACAATATGCCATCCTGTAATATCTGAAGCATTCCCACCATATTCTGGCAACCACAGCTGCCATTTTTTACCATATATTTTTACATTTTTACATTTATCTAAAGCAAGTACATGTTTACCATTCTGCTGATGGCAGAGTGTGTGAGTTCAGAGACCATGGCACCATCTATCCAAATTAGCCGGTCCCCTTTCTTCACTCCTGCTCTCTCTGCAGCACCTCCTTTCACTGAGCTTACTGTGAATTTGCCTTTCTCACCTATACATCAGAGATAAGAGAGTATTTCTATAACGGCATTACAGGGCTGATTTTGACATTTTTTAATATGTATATATGAAATTACTGTATTTCTACCTTCCACTGGCTGTATGTTGAGGCCCAGGCCAGGTGCATCTCTCGTGATGTGGCAGAGACGAGGAGGCCTCCATCCTTCCCCACGGCTAGCTTTAGCCAGCTCTCTAAGGTCA